CTTTGGGGCTGGCTGGGCAGCACCGGGGGTCCCCCCACCCCATCCCCGGGTACCTCCCGACCCCCACACCGGGCTCCGAGCGGGATTTCCCCGCCAGGTGCCGGGTGCTGGTGAGGTTTCTCCTCCTGAGCATCGCCTGGGTACCGCGCTGGCAGCTCTGCGTGCTCCCCGCGCGGTTTGGGGGACAAGTGACACCCAGGGCAGCACTTGGATGTCCTGCGGCGCTGAGCCCGGGCAGGGGTTGGGGATGTGGCCCCAGGGTGACTCCACGGCTCCCGTAGATGTCCCCAAGGTCCCGGATTCCCGCGGTGACAGCGATGGCCCCCGCCGGGGCTCCCTCTGTGACCGGCACTGCGCTGCCATCAACAACGTGCAGGGAGACCTGGGGGAGCTGGGCTGCCACCTGCACCGTCCCCGTGTCCCCACAGGTAGGTTGGGTGTGGGATGGGCTGGATGTGGGGTCCTGGGGGGGTCCCGTGCCCGCTGTGACCCTGAGTGTCACCCACAGCCACGTCCACCCCGTCCTGCTGCCAGCAGCACTCGGAGGAGGTGTGCGAGAGCTGCGTGGTGAAAACCACCCTGACGGCCGAGAACGCCGTGGAGGCCAACAAGCTCTCCAACAACTACAAGGTGGGTGGTGGCACCCATGGGTGCTCCTGGAGGGGTGTCATGGGTTTTTAATTTTCTTTCTTTTCACTCATTCCCCCAAAAACCAAACATCTCTCTGCAGTTTGGCTTCAAGAAATGGAAGAGCCACGTGACGGCGCGGCCCTGGGAGGACCGATCGGAGATTGTCAAGGAGCTCTACTCTGACCTCAATGTCATCCGAGGTTCTGGAGGTGGGTGGCCTTGGGGACAACCCTGGGTGGTGGCACTGTGGATTTGGGCAGGTAACAAGGGTCCCATGTGGTGCCTTTTCTCCCACAGGGTCCACGCTGACGTGTGGGAATGTCCTTTACCTGCTGCTCTTTGGCTGGTGGCTCTCGCTCCTCTACATCCTCGTGGCTGCCGTGATGTTCCTCACCGTCCTGGGGGCTCCTTATGGTCAGTTCCAAATTTGGGACCCCCGTGGATGGGCACAGAACTGCACCGATGGGTGCTGGGGTCTGCTGGGTCCCTTCTCCACGGAATGTCCCCGTAGCTGGAAGGACACTGATGGCCGTGTCCCTGCAGGGCGGCTCTGCTGGGACCTGGCCGGGTATTTCCTCTGGCCCTTTGGCAAAGTGATCCAGAAAGTGGAGGTAAGGGGGCCTTGGGAGTCCCCTGGGGGGGTCTCGGGGTGCACACCCTGACATCCCCCCTCTCCCCAGGTTCCCAAATCCCATCAGGTGTGTGAGGCCGGCGTAGGGGAGAGCTCAGCCCTGCTCGGGGGTCCCACACCGCGCCGCTGGCTCCCACGGTGCCGGGTGGGCACCGGATATTGGGTGAGCCCCGTGCTGGACGCGCTGATGTCACCCCCGGAGCCCCCAGCGCGGTGGGGAAGGCATCCATGGGCACCTTCCTCCCGCTGGGGTCAGCGTTTTGGGGGTCACTCCCTGAAGGTGACCTCCCGTTAACAGCGCCGTGCCGGCACTGCGGCGTGGCTGTGCCTGGGCTACCCGCCGCTGGCGCTGGCCCATGGGCTCGTGTGCGTCACCGCGTGGCTCCTCATTGTCCTCATCCCGGTGGCCAAGCTGAGCGCCCGCGCCGCCTCCCGCGTCCTGCTGCTGCCCCCGGAGCGTGCGCTCATCCGCCGCCTGAGGATGGTGGGTGACTCTGGGCAGGGTGAGGGTCTCACACCCCGCCCCAGGGGGGATTTTGGGCTGGAGAGGTGGCCCTGGTGACCCTCTCGTCCCTCTGCAGACGGAGGTGCCTCTGGAGGGAGAGGTGATTCTCTGCTGCTATCGCGCCGCCAACCCCTACTACTACAAATACGCCGTGGACGGCATCAACGTCTTCGCTGTCAGTATCCTCCTGGGAGCTGGAGCGGGATGGGCGGGGAGTGACCCCAAATCCACCCCCCCTCCGTTGTGTCCTTGACTGGCTGCCCCAGACCTGCTGCCCCTGGTGCTGGTGACGCTGGTGCTGGGCTACGTGGATAGCCCCAACCACCTGACGGGCTCTGCCATCAAGTTCACCTTGGCCCTGCTCTCCATCATGCCCCTCTCCTACTACATCGGCATGGCCATCGCCAGGTGAGTGCTGACGGGGGACACTTGGGGCCAAAGTGGGGGACACTCCCTGCTTTTGACACCCTTTTCCTCTTGTCCAGCATCTCAGCCCAGAGCAACTTTGCGGTGGGGGCGGTGGTGAACGCCACGTTCGGCTCCATCACCGAGCTCACCTTCTACATCACCGCCCTCATCAAGGGCTCGCGTGAGGGCAACCGCTGCTACGCCGAGGTGGTCAAGTCGGCCTTGACAGGGACGCTGGTGGGCTGTGTCCTCTTTGTGCCGGTGAGATGGGTGGCACTGAGAGCAGGGAGGGGGCTGTGAGCGGAGCCCTGATGGGGGATTTATTTTGGGGGGTTTTTTTTTCCTCCGTCCCCAAGGGTCTGTGCATGGTGATCGGGGGCATCTGGCACCAGGAGCAGCGGTTCAACAGCCGCTCTGCGGGCGTCAGCTCGGCCCTGCTCTTCCTCTCTGTGGGAGGTGAGTTTGGGGACGGGGTTGTCCCCAGGTTTGGGGGGTCCCACCAGGGTGGGTTCCTGCTCCATGTCCTGTTCCTGCAGGTGTCTTTGCCCCGACGCTCTTCTCCAAGGTGTACGGGAAGCTGGTGTGTGGCGAGTGCCACAACGTCACCCAGAACCCGCTGGGCCACTACCTCTGTCACAACTGTCACTTTGACCTGGTGAGTGGGGACCAGGGGAGATTTGGGGTCAGGGATGCTCTGAGCCCCCCTGGCTCTCGTGCTGGGTGGTGGCAGTGGGGCTGTCCCTTGTTCCCCGTATCCCTGTTGATGGGTGCTCTCTCTGCAGATGGACAACAACGGCACCCTCTACTACAGCCACGTCCAGTGAGTGTCCGCTGCGGTGGGGACAGGGCTGTCCCCACATTGGGGTGGCACCTCCTGGGTTTGGTTGCATTCCCGCAGTCCTCCCGATGATCCAGTGTCCCACTTCCTCCATCCCCAGGGGAAGTCCCCTGGGGTCTCCATGCCAGACCCTGGTGGCGCTGACGGTGTCACCTGTGTCCTGCAGACCCCTGGTGTACACGGTGTCCATCCTGCTCCCTGCTGCCTACCTCATCGGGCTCTTCTTCACCCTCAAAACCCATACGCACATTTATGACATCCACGTCAGTGACTGTCACAGTGAGTGTCCCCAAATGTCCTGGCTGCTCTTGTCACTGTTCTGGAGCGTCCCACACATCTCTGCTCTGTCCCCAGTGCCTGGTCACCACCACAGCGCCGTGGTCCACTGGTCCCGCTGGCGAGCCCTGGTCATCCTCCTGCTCTCCACCCTCTGCATGTCGGCCTGTGCTGACCTGGCCACGGAGCACATCAGCCCCATCCTCACCAACTCCACCATCTCACAGGTGAGCAGGGTCTGGGTGTCCCCTCCAGGGACGGGGACCTGCCCTGGTTGCGGTTGGAGCCCCAAAAGCAGTGGGGGAAAGCTGCTCTGCACCGTTGGTTTGGATGTGGTCCTGCCCGGGCTGATGTCACCTCTTCCCCGCAGTATTTCATCGGTGTCACCGTGCTGGCGATGGTGCCCGAGCTGCCGGAGATCGTCAATGGCATCCAGTTTGCCCTGCAGAACAATCTGAGCTTGAGGTGAGGTGGCTCCAAGGATGGCTTTTGGGGTGGCTCCTGTGCCCTGGCCCAGTCCCATCGCTGTGCCTTGGTGCCCACGATGGGCTGCCCGGCTGCTGGTGGGTCAGATTCTGTGTCAGCTTGTCTTTGAGGAGACCAAAAGGTCACCCAAAAAATGGTGTCAGAACTGGGATGGGCTCTGTGGTTTGGGATTTTCTCACCCAGTGCTTGGCAACCCCTAAGTTGTCCTTCCTCCCCAGCATCGAGATCGGGAACTCCATCGCGGTGCAGGTCTGCATGCTCCAGATCCCCATCCTGGTGCTCTTCACCATCTTCTACGTGAGTATCCCCAGCACAGAGCTCCTGCAGCAGGGCTGGGGACGTGGAAAGGACACAGCTGCCCTTCCCTTGCCCCAGGACAGAGCTCCTGCAGCAGGGTTGGGGACATGGGAAGGACACAGCTGCCCTTCCCAGCACCTCCCCTCTGCTCAGTGCAGGCAAAGTGGGGTCAGATGTCTCCTGGTGCTGTCCCCACCCTGGGGCTTTAAGGGGTGACACGAGTCCTCAGACAGAGTCAGTGTGGGGCTGTCCCGGTTGGTCGTAAACCCCAAATCCTCTTCCTCACAGCCGACCAACTTCACGCTCGTCTTCAGCGACCTCCACGTCTACGCCAGCATGTTCAGCGTGGTGCTCATGAACTACATCTTCATGGATGGCAAATGTGACTATTTCCAAGGTGACCACCTCCCCCAGGGCTGCTGTGGGACTTGGAGTGTCCCTAAATTCCCTGGGATGTGGGATGGGGAGCTCCTGGGTCCAACCCTGGGCTCGTCTGCTTGTTGGGGTTCTCTAGGATGACCTGAACGATCCTGGGCTCTTGGTTGACCATCTTGGAGCCGTCCCCCTGCAGCAGCTCCAAGGGGAATCACTCCCATTTCCCCCTTAAAAACGTTTCAAACTCCATTTTAATTGACATTTTGTTGAGAACCATGAAATTCCTCTACAGAGGGCTAATCCAGACCACACCAGGTCTTAAACCCATGTCCCTCCTTGCTCCGGGGAGTAACTCCCTCCACCCCTCTCTGTCTGCCCCAGGCACGGTGCTGGTGATGGTTTACTTCATCCTCCTGGCTGTGTATTTCTTCGCTCCCTCGCCCAGCGGCTGCTGAGGTTTGGATTCTCCTTCCTCCAACCCCCTGGTTGGGATCAGGACCCATCAAGACCTTTTCCAGTGTCTCAGGGACTCGGCCGGGCTGGCTCCGGTCTGGAAGCGCCGTTTCCTGAAGCTGCTGCTGCTGTTGGGCTCCCTCTGTGGGGCTTTGGGGATGGGAAGGGTGGTGGCAATGGAATCACTCCCGAAATGAGGAGCCTCAAAGCCTGAGCACGTCACAGAGGCATCTCCAGCCCACGCTCAAGTGGCTGGAAGGAAAACTGTCCTCAGTGGAGGGTCTTGAAGGGGATTTCTGCGTGTCTCGAGGACAGAGCCCTCCCTGGGGATGTTCTGCACTGGGAGAAGGTGCCTGAGAAGTCCCTCATCCTTCCAGGCCTGGCAGAGGCCTGGGAATTGCACATGGGATGTTTGATGGCTCCAGAAATGCACCCAAAGGTATTTCCAGCTGTTTTGTTATTAAAGCAGTTTTGTACAAATCAGAAACAAGTTTGTTTCTCCTTAAATGAGCCTCAGTCACCAGGCTGGGCCCTTCTGTGGCCACCATTCCCTGTCCCCTGTCACCTCAGCCCAGGGACAGGGCCAGCGTGGGTGGCTCCGGCTTTCTCCATCACCCTCCCAAAGCTCCAGCTCACTTCCAGCCTGGTCTTGTCTGACTGTCCTGGGTCCTCCTGGCTTTGAGGTCCAGACTGCTGAGAGAAGGGTCAGGGATGCTCCTGGAGTTGTCCATAGGCTGTGACAGGCTGGGGACATCTCTCTCCCTGCAGGGAAACGCAGGTGGATGTGCTGAGAGGATGAAATTGGGGCTTGGATTGATTTATTATCTTTAAAAACAAAAACAACCCCAAAGCAAAACACTGACAGATCCATCAACACAGCCAAGGAGGCTCTGGTGCCTCTTCCCCCTGCCCTGTTCCCTGGGGATGTCCTTCAGATAAAAATCAGGGAGTGCTGTCACAAGAAAGTTGGACTCTGAAAGGATGGACAGCCCTGAGTGAGGCAGGAAGCAGCCTGGGAAGGCAGCAGCTCATTAGGGGATTAATGAAGCTGCTTAATTAAGCCTTTTTGTTTTCCTAGCGAGGCACCAGCACGGACAATCCTGCTGTCCTCAGTCTGGGACATTCTGGAGCGTTGCTGGGCGAGTGGAGCTGCAGGACAGGGAAGGATGGAAAAGGGATGGGAGAGCAGAAGCCGCAGAACCTGCTCAGTGCCATCATCTAACTGAGATTTAAACAAATCATCTCTCCTGGGGTTGAGGGATGCTCGGGAATTCTCCTCTGAGCTGGTTTCCTGTCTCCTTACATCCTGTCCCCAGTGGCTGCAGATGCTGGACCCTTTCCCTCTCCCTTAGGGAACTGTAATTAAATACAATTAAAACTTTTACCCACAGGCACTAGCCCAGCAGTAATTAAAGCCCCCCTCAGCAGGAGCTGTGAGCTCAGTGCTTAAACAAGCCATTTTTTTAAGAGCAGCATCCAAAGATCTTGTGTCCCTCCTGCAGCAGCCAAGGGAGGTTATGGAATGGGAATGATCCCTGGAAATCCATCAGTGGGTGATGCTTTTGTCAGCAGAAGTCCTTGACCCTTTGGTGATGCTTTCCCAGCTCTGTAGGCTGGGGGTGGAGGGATGCAGAGGGATCCAACCCCTGGCCAGGACACCCCAGCAATCCCACCCTGGCTCTGGGAGTGTGATCCAAACGCTCCTGGAGCTCTGGCAGCCTTGGGGCCATGACCATTCCCTGGGGAACCTGTTCCCCTCCTTTGCTGCTGTCCCTGATGTCCCTCCTGGCTCCAGGGTGCTGCTGACTCAAATCCAGGACCCCCAGGTCCCTTCCCACAGCTTCTCCCCAGCCTGTCCTGGATGTGCTTTGCTGAAGTCTGAGGATTCCATCTCCTGGCTTTCCTGGATCATCCAGCTGGGTTGTGGTGCTGAAGCAGGAAATCAGCGTGGCAAACAGGACTTCCCTCTCCTGAAGCTGTGCTGGCTGTGACTGATGTGAGAGAGGCTTTGTGACAACCTCAGAGAAAGCTCCAGAGTAAGGAAAACCTAAGAACCTGAGGAATGTGCTTGCTCAGAGATCCAGGATCCTTGGATGGCTCCAGCATCACCTTGGGGAGGATGAGGGGAGATGCTCTTTAAAGCAGCTGAGAGAAAAAACCAGCACAGGGAGGACCAGGCTGCTCCAGGACCAAGGTAAAGATGGAAGTGTGGATATTCAACCTCAGAGTTTGGGAATGGAAGGAGGAGCTGGAGAAATGGTCCTGCAGGTCACTGCAAGCCAGGAGAGCAGGGAAGGGGCTGGAATGTGCAATTCCTGTGAAGGTGCAACGTGGGATGGAGACACCAGAGCTCCAAGCAGCTCCCACAAGTCCCTGTGGTCCAAACACCTGAGAAAGCCTCAGCTGTGCTGCCCAGACTTTGTTTTTCTGAGCCTTGGGGAGAAAAAAAAGCAGCAACTGAAGATGGAAAATGAGGAAAATCTATTCTGATGAGTTCCCTAAGTGGGGGGCAGTGACTCCAGCAGGCAGTGCCTTTGGATTAACAACATGAAGACAATGCTATGGTTTATTTAAACATAAATGCAACCTCTTAAAAAGAAACTAAAACCCCAGAGTGTAACCTCTGCCTTTGATGAAGAGGGAAGCATTGGGAAAAGCTGATTTTAAAAACAAAAGGCACTTTAAAAATGGGCTCCAACTGAAAAGGATTTTGCACAAACCTCACGCCTGGAGCTGCTCAGAGTTCAGTGGCCACTTAAATAAATTCAGTGTAGAGAGCACAAGAGGACCAGAGCCTCTTCCTGTCCTGCCTGTGCAGAGACAATCCCTGATCCCAGCACAAGGGAGAGATGTTCCCTTTCCCCTTTTTTGGATGCTGGATTTCCTGGGCTGAGCGATCCAGAAAGCCACTCCCCAAACCGGCTTTAAATCACATCTCCCACCCTCAGGGGAACATGAAACAACAAGAACAACACGATAAAGGTCAGTTTGGGATGTGTGGGAGGAAGGAAAACCATCTCTCTCAGCTGGGAGATGCTGAAAACCAGGGCTTGGTTGAGCAGGTTCAAAGAGCTCTGAAATCTACGGGGCGAGTTTTTACCGTAGCTCGTTCCGGGTGTAAAGTGAGCCGAAAAGGTTTCAAAAAACCTCAGGAAAACCTTTTCCCTCCCCACCCCCAGTAAACTACACAGTAGTCCCTCAAGTGGCAACTTTTTCCCAGTCTTCCAAGCAAACCTTTCAATATGAAAAGGGGGGAGAGAACACAGACACTGCACCAGGGAAGCTGCACGGGCCAAGCTTCGCTCGCCGCCCCGGGCGACGTTCCAGCCGTCTCCGGAAGCTCAGGGATGATGGGAACATGCCCATGGAATACATGCAGGAATTTGGGTGGGTTTGGAGAAAAGGGGGAGGGGGGGAGCTCAGCTGGGTGGGAGAGGATGGGGTTCTCCAAAGCAAAAGAACAGCTTGGTTGGTTGTTCTGCATCAAATGTTCCTCGTTGGATGCACAAGGGTGGAAATAGCAAGGTGAAGGTGCCAGGTGTAAGCACAGGCTTGGGCATTCAGTAGCTCGTTAAGCTCCCCAATTAATTTGCAAGCGTGTGCTGATGACAGGTTGCTGGCTGGCTGCTTAGTCTCAGAAAATACTTTTTGATTAATGGTGTAACTTAGAGCTCCATAAATAAAAAGGGGATTTTTTTTTTTGTTTTGTTTGTTTTTCAATGACTAAAAGTAACAATGTCTGGAAAGGCATCGATGTATTTGCTGAGTAAGGCCTTGAGCAGGTTCCTCCGTGTTTCTTAGCAAGACCATCCATGGAATCCATAAATAGGGGGTGGGAGGGGGTGGGATTCATTCTTCAGCATGGACAGAAGTGGGAGATGTTCTCATTTTAGTCGCTCAACGAGTCCCTGCGTCAGTCCAAGGTGCAAAAGCTGGGATCTGGAGAGAGTTGCTAGGTGAGGGAAAGATTCCAGGAGCTTCTCCCAGCACAGTTCCAGCAGGCTGGGCACCACCAGCCACATTTTGAACAGGGAGCCAGTCCGTTTGTTTTCGTGGATGTTGACCACCCCTCCGTGGACGTACATGCAGCCAGCCTGGAAAGGGGGACAGGAGTTACACAGCCAGGAAAAGCAGGGTTGGGCTGTCCCCACTGTCCCCAGGTGTCACAGCCTCTCTGGGAGCCTCTGAATCCTGGAAGGAATCCCTGCTGCAAAGGGCTCATCCTAAACCACACATCCAGCACCTCAGAGTGCTCTGTTTTAGGTGATTTCTATCCCAAGAAATCCATTTTAGGAGCGTGGCAAACTGTTAATAAAGTAGTGCAGAGCCATACTCGTGTTTCAGCTAACAAGAATGTATTTTTAAACTACACCCACCTCACACAGACATCCTGCATTCCCTTGGCTCAGCACAACTCAGCTCCAGGGATGACAGGAACACGGAGAAATGGGGAAAAACTCAGCTGCTGAGTGGATTTTGTCCTTTTTTTCTTTTTTTTTTCCTCCATAGGCTGGCAAAGAAAGGGCATTCCTGCTGTCCAGGCAGTCACTGAGCTGCCTGGGAAACACCTTTAATCAAGATTCCCAGGAAAAGCTGCATTTGTAACATTCCCCAAAATTCAGTGACACCAGGGAATGTGATCTCTGCCCTGAGGAGCTGAAGGCACAGGCATTTCTTGCTGCCTGTTAATGATCAATCCCAGGTCTCCAGCCTTCTACTTATGGCCAAAAGCTCTGGCAATACCAACATTCCTCAGTGGTTTCCAAAGGGCTGGAAACATCTAATCTTTCACCTCAGGCTGTTCTCAGTAGGATAAAATCACTTTACTCAGGGAGTATTTGTTGGTTTTTTTTTGCATTTTACAAGCAGGAACTATTCCCACGTGGAGTTTAAAAGCTAAAAAGTTTGTGTAATTTCTTTCAGGCAGCAAAACCCACGGTGTGGCTCCACTCTTCAAACAGCAGCAGGAGGAAGAACCCTCCCAAAAGCTGCTGCATGCAGTGGAGGTCACTTCCTTGGGGACACCAGCTCTATCTGCAGCCCACAGCAAGGTCAGAGGGTTTGGATGAGGGATCCCAGCTCCAGAGGGGACAGAAGGAGTCACTTACTGGGGTGACAGCAGCACAGTGGAAGTACACAGGCTCTGGCATGGCAGCTGGGAGCTTGACCCACTGGAAAGTTTGAAGGTTGAGCTTCCAAACATCTCCCAGGATCACCTCTCCGTTGTAGCCTCCGCACACGAACACATCTGTGAGAGAGGAGATGTGGGGGGAGTTCCAGGCCCAGCCCTGCCAGGAACCACGGGACACGCGTGGGGAGAGCTCAGGGATCGCCTTCCCCACATGGCTTTGGGATCAGGAATTGTTTCACCTCCACAAAGGATCTCCAAAATCAGCCCCAACACAGAGCAGAGGGCACTTAAAGGGTCCCAGACTGGCCTGGGTGGGAAGGGACCTCAAAACCCATCCAGTTCCAAACTGGTGGGCAGGGAAACCTCCCACTGTCCCAGGCTGCTCCCAGCCCCACTGTCCAGCCTGGATTCCAGGGATCCAGGGGCAGCCACAGCTCCTCTAGGAATTCCAGAGAATTCCCAGATCCCATCCATCCCTGCCCTCTGGCAGTGGAAGCCATTCCTTGTGTCCTGTCCCTCCAGGCCTTGTCTCCAGTCCCTCTCCAGCTCTCCCAGAGCCCCTCCAGGCCCTGGAATGTGCTGGAAGCTCTCCCTGGATCCTTCCCTTCTCTAGGAGAACATTCCCAGCTCTCCCAGCCTGGCTCCAGAGCAGAGGGGCTCCAGCCCTGGACTGTCCCCAGGTGCTCCTGCTGTGTCCCCAGGGCTGGGGCAGCTCTGCAGGTGGGGTCTCACCTTCACGATCCCAACCCCACCATGGGAAGCAGGAGAGCATTCCCTCTTTTTTGAGCCAAGCTGAGTTCTCAGACACCTGGGTTTGATCAGATTCCAGGGATTTTAAACCCTCAGGGAACAGCTCCAGCTCCCAGCTTTGCCCAAGTTCTCCACTCAGAGGCTGCCAAATCCTGCTGGTGGACTGGAAGCATCTCCCAGCCCCTGCCTTTCTTTTATTGGCACAATTGACACTCCTAGGAAACACAATCCAACATTTCCCTCCAGCCCTCAACAGAGAGCACCCAGCCACTGACCTGAAGGGTTTGGAAAAGAGGGATCAAGGTTGTAACTGGGTTTTTTTCAGTGCAAAAGAAGTGAGGAATGCTGCCAACTGTGCAGCTTAAGGCCTGTTAGTGGGGCAAAAATCCTCTTCCAGAAAAGCCACGTGTTCCCTGCGGTTCTCCCCTGTTTAGTTGTACAAGATACACCAATTTTCCAGAGGTAAATCTTACCATTTTTTATCTGGACACAGCTGTGGCATCTTCTGGCTGCTGGGAAGCCTGGGGAGAATAAATTGAAAAATATATCTAAGCAATAATTGCTTTAAAGTGCTTGTGCAAGTGATAATTCTATCAACATTTAATTATGGAGTTGAATTTTTAAGAGGTTCTGCTTTCCTGCTATCCCAGGTATAAAAAGGTGTAATTTTAAGCAGCTGTTTCAGGTTTGATTCCTAATTCCTCTCCAAGGAAGGAAGAAAAAATGCTGGAATTTTGTTCCCCAGAGTCTCAAATCTGGCTTGGTGAAAAGCAGCTGTGAGATTCCAGGGGAAAGGGAGCAGATCCAGGCAATGTCACCTTTCCCAAGCAGGGAGAGAGGGGGAAGCCAGACTGCCAAATTCCCTTGGATGGGATAATCCTTGAAGCACAAGCAGGATCTCAAACTCAGCAGTAAATCACACCTTGAACAAGAAAACTGCACCTTCAAGCACCTTGGTCACTCTGGAAAGAAAGGGAAAGAAGGGAAATTGCAGGCTCACCGACTTTCTCGTGAGGTTTGGTGGTGATCTCCTCCCAGGTGTTGGTTTCCAGGTTGTAGGCGTGGATCTGGGGAGAAAAAAGAGGAGCCATGAGATGCAGGATGATGCAGCCACAGGCTCTGACCCACTGGAAATAAATCCCTTTTTTTCATTAAGTGTAAACCCAAAAATAGCTGATCCCAGCCAGTGACTAAGCAGGTCTAAAATCACCTTCCAAGCTCCAGCCCAGCTTTGCTATTTCAGCCCTACAGCTGACAAACAAAAAGAAAAAGAATGTTGCTTTTTAAAAGAGCTGGACTGATTCAAATCCACACCCTCGAGTTCTCAGAAGGATTTAGAAAAATCTTTCTTCTACTGTAGGGAGAAAAATGGGACAATGGAGAGATAAAATGTCACATTAAGTGCTACAGACTCAGCTTTTTTGGAAGCAGAGCACTATTTAAAAGTGACCACAGATTCATCACCAGCACATTCTGTGGCAAATCCAGGTTTTACAGAAATAGGAGAACAATCTGCTCCCAATTAACTTTTTTTTTGTTTTCCTTTTTTTCTTTTTTTTTTTAACCAGGTTCTCCAGGCAAAGGCAGATGAAGAAGCTGTGCTGGTTATTCCTGTGTGGAAAAATCTCTGTCCAGGGTTCCAAAAGCCTCACCTTATCCAAGGAATAAGCTGTCCAGGAAGTTCCACCTCCCAGGATATAAATCCTTTGACCATCATGAGCAATTTCATGTCTGTACCTGAAAGTGCAAAGCAGCACAATTAACAACAACAAAAAAAACCTTCTGGAAGTCACCATCAAATTCCATCCAATTCCATTCCAAATCACTATCAAATTCCAGGGATTTGAGCAGAAACTCCCAAGCCTGGCTCTGCTGCATCAGTCCTTCAGGATGGGAGCATTCAGTTTTCCTCAGCCCTCCAAGCAGCACCCCAGAAGTCTGAAAGGCATTCTCTGATTGCAGAGCAATTATTAAGTAATTAATAATTAAGGATTACTGAACACCAGGACAGCCATCAATATTCCAGCCCCTTCTAAGGTGGCTCCTGGAAGTGTCCAAGGCCAGGATGGGCAGGGCTGGAGCAACCTGGGATGGTGGAAAATGTCCCTGCCTACGACAGGGGGATGGAATATGATTTATTTTAAGATTCTTAGGAACCCAAACCATTCTGGGATTTTTCCCTTCCCAATTCCCTGTTCTCAGCTGGACACCAACCGCAGATGGGAGCGACCCAAATCCTTCCTGCCAATGCCACAACCACTCCCAGGGGCAAAGGAGGGCTGGAAATACCAACCACAGCAAGGTATCCTAAAACTTCCCATCCCCTGCCTCCCAAAAAAAGCTCCCTGAGGCTGCCCAGGTAACATTTTAAATTTGTTTCTTCTTTCTTTTTTGGTTCTGCTGTGATTCTTCTGCACTTTTCCTCACTCCTGGATTTCTCAGCTGCTCTGAGCTCCTTTGGGATCCTCCCTCACAGGGAGTTCTGTTTATCTCAGTTCTCTGGGTCAGAATAAAAACTCCAGAGCTCGTTAGGATCTTGTTGCTCTTGTGTTTATTTGTTATCACAAAACTTGGCAGGTCTCTCCAGACTTTCTGCACAAGTTTAATTCATCTTGTCTCTTTGGCTCACTTTGGCTCTGATGGCACAAAATGGCCCTGAACTACGCAGTTCTTTTATCTTTATACTTATTTTTATCCAATTAACAATAGACATGTTAATTATTTTTCTTAATGATTCAATGACCCATCACCTGTGTGCTGCACTGTGACATTTTCTGTCCAATCACCTGCTGTTACCCAAAAACCTCTAGAAGAAGAAAATTAAGAAAGAAGGAAAAGAAACAACATTCTAAATCCTCCATCTTGCCTTCTGCTTTCTAAACTTTAACTTTTTCACCCAGTGACTTAAGAAAACTTTAATTTACACACTCACACTTATAGCTTTTCTAACTTTAACAGTTGTTTTCATGTGTCAGCATGAAAACACGCCCATAAATTTCATGTTGTGTGAAATTCAGTGTTTTTCTGGATCTCAGCCATCACTCTGTGTCTCAGTGCTCACCTCTCCTCTGGCATGTCACAGGACATATTGTTTGGCTTCAGCTGGATCCATTCCCGGGTGTTGAGGTCCAGCTTGTGGAGGTCAGTGCTGTAAATGTACCCAGTTGTTCCTCCAAACACGTAGAGACAGCCATTGATGATGGCCATGGCCTGGCAGAGAAACAGGTTTGAAAGGATTTGGGATAGCTGGGGTTGGAAAAGAGGGAATTCCTGCTCTTCCAAAGCAGATGGGCACCAGCAAAAAGGGTCAGTCCTGCTGGGAGGCTGAATCCATTTCTTTGTCTGCCTCATTCATCCACTTGGAACATGGAAATGGACATGGAAAGCCTTAAATGTGTCATTCTAATATAAATCACAATTCTAATATAACTCCACAAATTTTCATGTAGAGTTTTAGGTTTTGAAAGCTTTGACTACAAACCACTCCTTAAATCGCTTTTCCGTTCTCATTTAGACTTTTGGGTTTTGAAAGGTTTTTTTACCACCCTACCCCTTAAATCATCTTTTTTTCCATCCAGCTGCACCAGTCACTTCATGAACAAATCCTGACCTTTCCAACTAGGAGAAAAAAACCTCTTTGAAATCTCAAAGAACCGAGGCTGCTCCATTTCTTTACGAAAGACACCCGCTTTTCCTTGTGCTTTTACACACAGAGAGGAGGAGGCTGGTGAGGAGCAGAGCAGAGATTTTTGGGGCTCCCTCCTGCTGCCTACCTGGCCGTAGATGCGGTTGGGTTTCTTGCCGCGGCAGCTGAGCAGAGCCCATCTCTTGTACTTGACGTTGCAGACGTGGACGTCGTTGCCGTTGCTCTCTCCAAAGGGGATCCCGGTGCCCCCAAAAACCAGGAGGTTGTTGCCATGTAAAACAACTGGGAGAGGGAGAGAGAGGAAGATCAGGGATGAGTGAGGTCAGTGGAACAGAATGATTTTTCCAAGCCAGGCTGGAATTTTCCCTGCTCTAGGGAAGGTGTCCCCTATCCATGGCGTGGAATTGGATGATTTTTTAAGCTCCCTTTCAACCGAAACCATTCCATGTTTCCATGCTCTGGAGACAGCAGTGCTGTTCAAATTCCCTACTTTGAGAAGCTCTAAAAGAGGAAAGGATCCCAACTAAAACCATGGTAACCAAAGGTCTGCTTTGAAAAGTGAACAAAGACAGCTATTTTTGGATGCTTTGAGATGTCTGCACGAAGCACCTTCCTGCTGAAAGCACAGCAAGGTAAACACCTGGAAAATATCTCCTGCTTTCCCATTCTTTTCCTTTCCCTCTGCCTCAACGGAGCAAAAAGGGAAAGAAAAATCACAAATCACTGTCCCAGGCTGCTCCAAGCCCTGTCCAACCTGCCTTGGACATTCCAGGGATCCAGGGGCTGCTCTGGGAATTCCTTCCCCAGATCCCATCCATCCCTGCCCTCTGGCAGTGGGATCCATTCCCTGTGTCCTGTTCTTCCAGGCCTTTCCCAAATTCCAGCTCTCCCAGAGCCCCTCCAGGCCCTGGAATGTGCTGGAAGCTCTCCCTGGATCCTTCCCTTCTCCAAGAGAACATTCCCAGCTCTCCCAGCCTGGCTCCAGAGCCTGACATTGGATCCATCTCCTCTCCAAGGAATTGATGGACCCAGGGCCTTCCCTTGGAATCTCAAGACACCACCAAGGCTCTCCCTTCCCTTTCCCTCTCTTTCCCATCCCCATTTCCCAGAAAAATCCAACCTCAGGGCCTACTTGTGAAAAGAAAATCCCCATTTCCATTTCTTAAAATAGCCAGGATTAAAATAGCTCCGGGAACAGGCACGCGAGGGAGTTGGATTTCCATACGTACGTGACATGGAGGCCAGTTCCCTGGGCATGTAGCCCTCGGTGCCCATCTGGTGCCAGGTGTCTGTGGCAAAGTTGTACCTCCAGAGCTCCCTGAAGAGGGGATAATCCTCATTTTCTGGCCCCCCGGACTCGTCGTAGTCGGGATTGTAACCCCCGAAGACGTAGAGGTTGGAACTGTCGGCGACGCAGCGATGGCCGCTCCTGGCTGGGGGACACCTGTGACCTGCAGGAGGAGGAGAAAAAGCAGCTCCACAAGAGCTCAGCTTGTGTTCCAGGGGTCAGGAATGCACCCACTGGGATGTATTCCATAGGGAATCCATAGGGAAGCGCCTCTGAGGTGGGAGGAAATGTCCCTTTTCCCACTTAAAAAGCCAATCTGTGTGTCACCACCTCGTTCCTGGCCACTCCACCCCCGGAGCAATCCTTCCACGACAGCTCTTTCTGAGGTATTTGATAAAAACCTTCTCTTTTTTTTTTGTTCTGTTTTGCAAATTTCACTCAGGAAAAAAAAAATCCAAATATTTGTAGTTAAAGCTGCCTGGTAGAGAAAAAAAAAATTTAAAAAATTAAGGTTTTGCTTTCCTTCCTATAAAAATCTCTCTTTTTTGTTTGATTGATTTCTCTTTTTTGTTGCTTGGATCTCAAGAATTTGTCACTTTAGAAGTGACACCTGTCTGACAGAACAGGGAAAATCTGCTCCTAAATGAAAGCATTTGCACTGGGCAGGGAATCCAGCTGAGATCCTACAGGCAGACACAAAAGGAATTTTCCCTAAAATCCACCCTGATAAGATAAAAAGATGGATTCAGCCAAGGGAAAACCTAAGCAGGAATTTTCTTGGACAACAGAAATCGAGGTCTCGGCTGAAATGTGACCAAAACAAACCCAAATAAATCAGTGACCTTCACCTCCCTCCTGTTCCCTTTTTTTTTTATCCTCTTTTTTTATGGATTTTGGGATGGAAAAGGAGCCAGGAAACATCAAATTAAGAGCCAGCATGTTTTCTTCTGTTTTAATTCCCAGCAGTGAATCTGACATTGCAAAAAAAAAAAACCAGGCATGAAGGATTTTTCCTACAGGAAAAGTGAAATAAATGATTTGTCCAGACCAAATAATGAATTTGAGCTGAGCACAAGCAGCTTTGCTTAATCATGTTCAACTCTGGTCCAAAATTAAGCTGCTCTCCAGGGTTCAGATGAAGTTTTGACAGATTTGGGGTGTTTCCAGGAATAATTGTGTCTAGCAGCAATTCCCACTTAGAAAATGAATAAACACTGGCTGAAAAAAGAAGGGGGAAAAGTTGTGGAATTAAGGGGAAAATCTGTAGTGGGGATGTGGATTTTGGGGCACAGGAGAGGGGGATAATCCATGTCCTGATTTAAAATTAAGGAATTAGGAGTTCAGATATTATATTAAATATAGATTTTATTTCCCTCTAGTTCTAACACTTGCCATGAGAATTTTCCAGAGGGAAAAGAGGAAAATAAATAGTTTTCTATAAAACAAAAGAGTAATTTCAAGAAAATAAATTATAAAAACACCACCCAAGAGGCCTTCACTGCCATCCACCTCCCAGAATTAAATAGGGAAGACACCTGACTTTGCCAAAAATCCCAGTTTTCAACAGGAAAGGGATCACACATCCCTGGAAGTGTCCAAGGCCAGGCTGGACAGGGTTTGGAGCAGCCTGGGACAGTGGGAAGTGTCCCTGTCCTTGGCAGGGGGTGGCACTGGATGATCTTTAAGGGCCCTTCCAACTCTTGCTCATCGCTATCTTTGGAAAAAGATTCTTCCAGTTGTGTCTTTTTTAAGGAAAAGAGCTGGAAAAGCTGGATCTGTTCGGGGGTTAATTCCACAGCTCCCATAAGAAGCTGCATTTCCATTTAATTAGGACTCACTGGATGATTCACAGCTCCTGCTGAGATTCAGGAGAGCTTTGCAGCTGGTTTTGCTCCAGTCACCAGCCCATTCCACAGGTGTAACTTTTAGATGGGAAAATCCTGGGATTTGCTGAACATCCACTTTGTGGTGAGCAAAACCCATTTTCCCAGAGCTGAACCCCAAAACACTCAAAGCAAGGCCCCATCCCTGTGAAATGCTGGAATTCTCCAGGTCCTGCTGTGAATTCCATGCTGCTGGATGTGGAAATCAGCAGGATGTACCAGGGGAAGAGGTCATAAAGTTCTGGAAAATGGCTTTAAAACGGATGGATACGATCTGGGAAGCAGCTGTTTTCCCACTTTAAGATTCCAGAGAGAAGCAGGAAGGAAGGATGGGAAGGTGAATTTACAAGGATGCTCCTTTTCCCTTAGTCCTGAGGGCAAAAATGGGAACAGGAAAAAAATTTTCAGGGAATTAGTTCCACAATCAGACTGAAATTTAACAACAGGAGGAGAGGGAACAGCCTCGAGCTGTGCCAGGGGAGGCTCAGGGTGGACAGCAGCAGGAATTTCCCCATGGAAAAGGTTGTTAAACTTTGGAAGGGGCTGCCCAGGGAGGTTTGGAGTCCCCAAGGAATTCCTGGATGTGGCACTCAGGGCTCTGGGCTGGGGACAAGGTGGGAATTGGGCACAGCTTGGATTGGATGGTCTGGGAGGCCTTTTCCAACCTAATGGATTCAGTGATTCCAGGCTGAAACTTTGTGACGGGGACATAATTAAGGAAAAGTCTTAATTAAGGGCTGAGCCACTCAGAAAGAGGCTGGCTGGGCACTGACCTGCCAACACCCTGCTAAATTCCCCCTTTAACCAGTGATTCACTCCATGAGTTCTGAGGAGCTGCTGGATTGACAATCCCAAGCTATTCCTAATTAATTCCTTTCCTGCAGGAGCTGTAATTAGGGCAGGGGATGAAACAAGAAGGTGTTTCCAGATGTGACACGGGAGAAAAGGGGGATCAGGGGGAATTTCTGGCTCTGCACAACTCCCTGCCAGGAGGGGACAGCCGGGCAGGATTTGGGATCTTATCCCAGGGACAGGGACAGGAGGAGAGGGAACGGCCTCAGGATGGGCCAGGGGAGCCTCAGGGTGGATTTTAGGGAAAATTCCTCCATGGAAAGGGGGGTCAGGCATTGGAAATGCCCAGGGCAGGGGGGAAGTGCCCATTCCTGGAGGGATTTCCAAGCCCTGAGGATGTGACACTTGGGGACAAGGTGGGGCAGGGGTGGTCTTGGCAGTGCTGGGAGCGGTTGGACTCGGTGGTCTGAGAGACCTTTTCCATGATTATGAAATTATTCTGAGCCTCCTGAAACCATCCTTTTTTCTTAGGACTGTCAGAAACCCCAAATAAATCCATTTCTATCTCAAGGGTGGGTATGGAGAGGAACGGGGCCGGACTGCTCAGCGACAGAAGGGACAATGAAAACTGAAACACAGGAAATTCCAGCTGAATAGGAGGAAAAACTTTGACTTTTGAGAATGATGGAGGGCTGAACAAGCTTCCCAGAGAAGCTGTGGCTGCCCCTGGATCCCTGGAAGTGTCCAAGGCCAGGCTGGATGGGGTTGGAGCACCCTGGAACAGTGGCAGGGGTGACACTGGGTGGGCTTTGAGATCCCTTCCCACCCAAACCATCCCACAATTCTACATTCCTTTATCAGTTCCCTTTTTTTCCCCAAGGTAATTTAATCCAAATATCCACCTCAGGATTATCTGCAGCACTTTTTGAGTATCTGGAAGTTTTTCCTGTCAAGATAACAGGAGAAGGAACAGCAGCAGCAAACAGCCTGTCCTGTTATCAGGGCAAACCAAACAATGCTGGCTCTTCCCATCAATCCATGATTTCAATCCCACAAATCCCAGTGCAAGCCCGTCCCATGAGGTGTGTGCTCGTGGGAGAATTATAAAAACACCAGCAGAATTTCTACTTCAAACCCTATTTTTGGAAATACACAATAACTACAGGGTGCAGAACCAACAAATCCAACCTGGCTTTGGATCCTCCTCTTTTCCAAGTCTCACATCTGTGGTGAGTATAACTGTGCACATGTCCTTTTCTCTGCTTTTTAAAGTTTTCTAAAGATGGTTTTGGTGTTATTTTTTCCTCCTGCCTGGTTTTCCAACATCCAAAACAGCAGGGTTCAATCTCTCCCTTTCCATTTCTGATCCCTGCAGGAATCCTGAAGGATATTTAGGTCAAGGGTTGAACCAGAAAAAGACAAGTCAATATTGACTTTGACTCCCATCTTCAAAGTTTCATCTTTTCCACAACAGCTGGACAAAAAAAAAAGTTTGGAACTCGTGTCATTGGAGCCCCTAGGGAATGTTTGGACAAGCAGGATTGGGAATGGATCACTGAGAGTGAGGTTTAAAAGCTATTTGTTCATCCAGCTGCGCTCAGCCTCTGCAGATCCCACATTTCCCTTCCTTGGCAGGCTGCCCACGCCTGAGAAATTCCTAAGAGGAAAAAATTCCCAAGAGGAAAAATCCCCAGCTGTAGCTGGGTCCCTGAACAACGGCTCTGAGAGGCTGAGGGGAAATAGGAGAAGCCAGAGGATCCAGCCAAACACAACCTGCAGGTCAGCCAAGAGATTTCCAGGTGTTGCTGAGACCTCCAAAGCAGCGTTTCCAGAATGGATCATCCTGGGAGAGCTCCTGTGTTTGGATCAGGTCAGAACCAGAACAGGTCTGGTTCTCCCAGGTTTTGTTTCCAAAATCTGTGGGGCAATCACCTTTTAAAGGATTTTACACCACTAAAACTCAGTGATCCTTGGGTTGTTTTGTTTCCAAAAAGCGTGAAGAAAGGAATTCTGGAGAATGAAAGTTGTAGTTTTTATGGTCCAATGTCCTGTGGGAAAAGGACCTGGGCTGAGGTTGTTCAGCACCTTGAGCAGCCACATCCTGAAATCCTCCAGCGACTCCACCACATCCCAGAGGAGGCTGCTCCAGGGAATGATGGTTCTCACTGGAAAAAAATGTCTTTTTTCCATTGGGATGAACCTTCCCTGTCCCCACTGCTCCTTGTCCTCCCCATGTGAAGGGAGATGTTCTGTCCTCCTTGTATCCATCTTTTGAGGACTGGAAAACCCCAGTGAGGTTCCACCTGAGCCTTCTCTTCTCATGGAATCATGGAATGGAATCCCAGGATGGTTTGGGTTGGAAAGGACCTTAAGGATCGTCCCATTCCAACTCCTGCCATGGCAGGGACACCTTCCACTGTCCCAGGCTGCTCCAAGCCCTGTCCAACCTGGCCTTGGACATTCCAGGGATCCAGGGGCAGCCACAGCTGCTCTGGGAATTCCAGGGAGACTCAAATCCTTCAGCCCTTCCTTCCCTGGACCATTTCCTTTGGATCCTCTCCAGTCTGGCTGTGAATTTCTTTACTTGTGGAGACCAGAACTGGACACGGAATTCCAGGAGCACCGGGCAGAGCGGGATGATCCCATTTCTCCCTCCCAATGTCCCTGTGGGTGCAGCCCAGGCCCTGATTTGCCTTCCCTCAGTTCCCTCTCAATGAGGCTGCTCCCAAACCTCACTGATCCCAGCCTGGGCTGGATTCTTGGGATGTCATTCCAGCTGCTACACTTGGAATTTTGTTTGGAGATGCGCTCCTCTAGCCTGAGCAAGTCCCTGGAATGTTATCCCATTAATCAAGGAATCACACAGACACAAAATCCTCCGTGACACGAAGGGGTTTGGGATATTTGGAATTTCTCCTCTTTTTTTAATATATATATTAAGAACTGAACTTCTCCATAAAAAAAAATCCCAAACCCTTCTGTGACTGGGAAAATTACAGCTGAATGCAAGAGTGGGAATGGTGAGCCAGGAGAGGTAAAAATCCATTTAAATGTTCAGATTGTTCCAACTCCCTTAATTCCCAGGAATCTGATGAAAACACTGACAAATATGGACAGAAAAAGAACAAACCACCTGTATTTGACTTCTTTTTTCATCTTTCCAAACCTTACAAACAGCAGGGGAATAGCATGGGGGAAATGGAGGAACGACTCCTGAAAACTCTGGAAGAGAATTGGGAGGTAAGAAAAGAAAACTGAAAAGTCTGGAAGGAAATTTAGGAGGCAACTGAAAACCCTGGAAGAGAATTGGGAGGTAAGAAAAGAAAACCTGTAAATTCTGCAGGAAAACTGGGAGGTGAGGAATGAAACCTGACAAGTCTGGAGGAGAACTGGGAGCTAAGAAAGCAAACCTGGGAACTCTGGAAGAGAAATGGGAGCTCAGGAACAAATGTGGTTGGAGAAAATGGAATGAGGGGGGGAAAAATTCCTCTTCCCATGGTTATGTAAGGGATATAAGTAGGACCTTAACAGGTGTCAAACTGGGAGAAAACTCCAGCAATCCAGGATTTTCCCATCCAAGAGGGCTGGCAGTTAGTTTGGGGTTTATTTAGGCTGGCTTAAGTGCCAAGGCTGAGCTGGACAGGGGTGGTTCACCTTGGGCTGCTCCACAAAATTCACGCAGGATCAGGAGGATGCAATTCCCATCTGCTCCAGCCAATGCTTAAAATTCAGGAAAGGGAAGAGAATCTGGGCCTGTGTTGCCAAAAAAGGGCCTTTCCACGGAAGGAAGGAAACGTGGCTGAGCATTTACCCAAAAATAGAAGGTGTGGAGCCACTCAGCAAAATTCCCAGCGCTCCTGGAAGAGGCTGGAAGGCTGATCCAGAATGTGGCAGGTTTGAGGGATGGGAACATGGATTGAAAACCCTTTCCCAGCTGCTGTTGGTGATCCCAGCCCTGAGGGGTGAGAGGCTTCATGTCCCACATGAATTGGGGGATGTGAGTGGCAGGAAAGGATTCCTGATCCTGGGATATCCAGCTCAAGGTCAGGAGGAGCTAGAGAGACAAGGAAAAAAGGGATATTCCCACCCCAACTGGGACTTCCCAATCCTGTGATCCCAGGTAACCTCAGCTTCCTCCCAGAATATTTGGGGAACTGTTGGGGTGACCCAAACATCCAGAAATTATGGAATAACTCTTCAGCATCCAACCTTGCTAGGAGAGAGGTGGAAAAAAACCGCTTTTCATAGGGAACAGGACTAAGCTGATGTCACATCCCAGCCAGGACTCTCCACCCCTGGATCTCCCCTCCCAGGATTGTGAGGTGTCTCAAAAAAACCTCGATATACTGGGATTGCAGAGTGGGGGGATCACCAGGGCTTATCCAAGATTCCAGGAGGATTGAAACGGGGCTGATCCCTGAGGGATACCCCTATCCCCACATCCATGGGGAAAAACAGCCCATGGGAGGCATCCAAGCATCTCCCAACACCTGGAAAATACTGGAATGGGGAAGGAAGCGCTGCCACACACCAGGTTCTAGGAGGGGGTAACCCTAAATCCATCTGTAAAAGGATAACCCCCCCATCCCTCATTCTGGGAACATTGGGATGGGAACACCCCAGCTCTCCCCACGCCATCCCCGGGCTTTGGGGACAGGGTGACCCCATTATTCCCGGCTTGTTGGGGCATCCCAGCTCCACCCGGGAATGTCCCAGATCCAGGGATAACTGTCCCCTCGGGACCTTGGGTGTCCCTGTCCCGGACCCCAGGGGTTAGGGTTGTCCCCGTCCCCTCAGGGCCTTGGGGACACCTGGATGGGGTGACCAGACCTCTCTGGAGCGTGAGGATGGGGATGCCCCCATTAAGGACCCGCCAGGAATGGGGGTGCCCCGGTCTCGAACACCGTGGAAATGGGTAATTCCCAACAACAGATTCCTTGAAGCCTTGGGAATAAATCTCTCCCAATCCCTGACCGTCCGGGATGAGGGTGCCCGGTCCAGGATCCTTCAGGACCTTGGGGACGGCGGTGTCCCGGTCCCCGACCTCCTGGGGACGGGGGTTCCCCGATCCCGAACCCCTCAGGACCTTAAAAATGGGAGTGTCCCGGTCCCGGTCGCCTTGGGATGGGGATGCTTTGCTCCCAAATCCCTCGGACCCCTCAGTGCTGCCCTGGCCTCGAACCCCTTCTGGGCCTTGG